CCTACGCGTCGCGCGTGGGAAACAGGACGAAGTGCAAAGACAACACAAAGTGTCCTCTGGCGACTCGACTACGTTCGTACACGGGGGCGCGCGGCAGAAGTGGAGCAAGGCGGGCGGTTGGCAGACGAGACAATGCTGTCCGTGTTGTCGAGGGACGCGGAAGCTGCAGGTGGCCGTAGCGCAAGGAAAGACCCCGACGATGCACATGGGGCATTGCGCGCCCGTTCGAGATGTGCTTTCTTGCACCGCTGGCGCCCCGCACTTCGGAGTGCTACATCGCGAGGGCGTAGATGCAAACGCCGTCGAAGACTGCGCTGGAGCGGCTAGAGAAGGGCTGGCGGCTGGGCTGGCTCCGCCACAGTGAGCGCGCAGATCTGGAGTTCCGGGCGCTCCTCGGCGCGAGAAGCACACCGTGCACGGTCGACGTCCGGCTTGGCATGGGACGCAAGTACTGTGGGCTGCATCGCCCCGTTGCTCCTGGCAGCCAGGCGATGCGCAGGCGAATTGCCGACCAGGGTTGTAGGGGCAAGAATGGTTGTTGCGATGGTTAACGCATTGCGGCAGCCGGCCTGATGCATTTTTGACCTTTTGCCGGACGTGGGAAGGACACCCCAGCACCGCGAGGCGACAGGGCAGGGAGCCTTCAGAGCACGGAAAGCACGGGCCAGATGATTTGTTGGTTGCCAGAAGGCAGCAGCCGACGCGGGCGTTCGTGCACAAGTTCCACTCGCGCGTGGTATTGTGGCACGGGTCGGAATAGTGCGTTGCGCAGAAAGTAGGCGTGACATGTTTTTTGGCCGTCGGAAGGGTGGAGCTACAGGAGCCTCGCACTGGGGGTGGGCACACCGTGCATCTGCCGAAAGGCACCGCTCGCAAAATATGTGACGTTCTCGTTTGTTGGTGTCTTCGACTGGGATCTGAGCTTGGAGTCCACTGCAAAATTGATAGTTATGACACGTGCGTCGCGGCCTCTCAATAACAGCTGAAGCCATGACCACGAATACGGAGGTGCAGGGGGCGGCGGCTCGACCCGCGACATGGATGGCAGCCTGCAATGCCGCAAAAGTAAGCAGGAGAATACTGACTGGTGACTGCGGAGGCAGCAGCATCACGTCGTCAGCCGATATGGGGTACGGGGTCGGTGGAGCAGGACGCTGAAGTGCAACTCGGAGACCTTGTTGGAAGCTCCGGGAACAGCTTCGGCGCTGACCTGGGCCCCGTCATGGCTCCATGGATGGGCCAATGGTTGTGCACGGAAACGGAAAGAGCGCTGAAGGAACTTGCCCGAGACGGCTCATGGCACCCTTCGCTCTTGGGAGCGTAAATGTTAAGGGCCGGTTACGTCACTGCTCCCCGTCCTCCTCTCCTCCTCGTCCTCGTCCTCCTCCTCCTCCTCCTCCTCCTCTTCCTCCTCCTCCTCCTCCTCATCATCATCAGCCTCCTCCATGTCCTCCCCGCTCTCTTCAATCTGCCGCTCCTTCTCTTCCTACACCTCGTTCTCGTCCTTCCTCACCTCTAGTCACTCACCAGTCCTCCTCATCCTTCGCTCCCCTTCCATCCTTGTCATCAACATCCCTCGCCACCATTACTTACGCCTCCTCATCGTCATAATGTATGGTGTGGCTCTCGCGTGGCCATCATTGGGCTGTCTTGGGGCCTCGCATGACCCTCTCGGGGTCAGTTTTTGGAGGCATACTGGAAGTCTCTGGGGCGTATTGGGGGAGTTGTTGGGCCTCTTGGGAGCCTCCGGGGAGCCTTTTGGGGGGCGCTTGGGTGGCCTCGGGGGGCTTCTTGCGGCCTCATGGGGCCCTCTTGGGGTCCGCTGGGCTCGCTTAGGCAATCTTGAGGCCATGTCAGGGCCCTCCTGGGGCCGTCTTGGGCGACTCCTGCGCCGTCCTGGGGCGCTCTTGGGCCGTCTTGGGACGCCTTTGGGGGCGTCTTGGGCCGTCTTGGGCCCGGCTTAAGGGTTTTTTGGGCCGTCCTGGGGCTCTCTTGGGGGCCTCTTGGGCCGTCTTGGAGCGTCGGAAAGCAAAAAAAGCAAGAACGCGAAAAACATCGAAAGAACCAATGACAAATCAGCGTTTGTGGCCTCTTGGGGTTCTCTTGGGAGGCCTCTTGGAGGCCGCTTGGGGCGTGTTGGTGGCCTGTGGGCTCGTCTGGAGGCCATGCTGGCGCGTGTTGGAGGCTCGCTGGCCTTTTAGGCAGTCGTCAGGCCATGTCGGGGCCCTCCTGGGGCTGTCTTGAGCGGCTCCTGGGTTGTCTTGGGGCTCACTTGGGCCATCTTGGGACGCCTTTGGGGGCCTCTTGGGCTGTCTTGGGGCCGGCTCAGGGGCCTCTGGGGCCGTCCTGGGGCTGTCTTGGGTGCCTCTTGGGCCGTCTGGCAGCGTCGGAAAACAGAAAAAGCGAGAAGGCACACAAAATCAAAAAAAAACAATGAAAAATCAACGTTTGTGGCCTCTTGGGGTTCTCTTGGGAGGCCTCTTGGAGGCCGCTTGGGGCGTGTTGGTGGCTTCTGGCCTCGTTTGGAGGCCATGCTGGCGCGTGTTGGAGGTCCGCTGGGCTCGCTTAGGCAGTCTTCAGGCCATGGCGGAGCCCTCCTGAAGCTGTCTTGGGCGGCTCCTGGGCCGTCCTGGGTGCCTTTTGGGCCGTCTCGGGACGCCTTTGGGGGCTTCTTGGGCCGTCTTGGGGCCGGCTTAGGGGACTCTTGGGCCGTCCTGGGGCTCTCTTGGGGGCCTCTTGGGCCGTCTTGGAGCGTCGGAAAGCAGGAACAGCGAGAAGACAAAAAACATGGGAAACACCAGTGAACAAAAAAACAAGGTGTTTTGCCTCTTGGGGCTCTCTTGGGAAGCGTCTTGGAGGCCGCTTGGGGCGTGTTGGTGGCCGCTGGGCTCGTCTGGAAGCCATGCTGGCGCGTGTTGGAGCGCTCGCGGGCTGTCTTGGCTGGGCTGGAGCCCGCCCTGGCGGTCTCTGGAACCGAGCGGGAACCCTTCCGAGCGGCCCCGGGGGCCCTGCACCCCCATGCGCCCCCGAGGTCCTTGGGCTCGGCCGGGGGACCTCGTCCCCCGGGATATATTATATTATATAATATATATATATATATATATATATATATATATATATAATAATATATATATATATGTATGTATATATCGATGCCCCGTTGTATCTATTGTTCGAAATCCCTATCGTACTACGTATATGTATCAATATATCTAGACGCGCTTCTATATACACATATATATATATATATATGTGTGTCTACCTGCTGGACTCTATTTATATATACATATACATATATATATATATATATATATATATATATATATGTGTATATATTTATACACACCTGTCTATAAATCGGTCGTTCAAAAGGTATACATATATATCGACTAAAATGTTCACATATACATTTCCGACAATTATGTTTGTATAGGTATATGTCAATCCGGACATCCATCAGGACAACCATGACGGCACCCATGAGGGCAACCATCGGGGCAAGCATCGGGACAACCAGGAATACAACATCGGGACAACCATCGGGGCAAACATCGGGACAACCATCGATACAAACGTCGGAACAGCCATCGGGGGAACCATCGGGGCAACCATCCGGACAACCATCGGGGCAACATACAGGATCACCATCGTGACATCCATCGGGACAAGCATCGGGACAACACCTATCAATCGGGACAACTATCGGGAGAATCATCACGTCGGGACAACCATCGGGCCAACCATCGGGACAACCATCGGGACAACCATCCGGGCAACCATCGGGACAACCATCGGAACAATCTGCGGGGCCCATCTGGACAATCATCGGATCAACCATTGGGACATTCATCGGGAGAACCGTTGGAACAACCATCCGAAACAACCACCGCCGGGACAACCATCGGGAGAACAATCGGGAGAACCTGGGGGACAACCATTGGGACACACATCGGGCAAACCTTCGGGACAATCATCGGGGGATTCATAAGGACACCCATCGGGACAACCATTGGGACAACCACTGGGGCAACCACCGGGACAACCATCGGGACAACCGTCGGGGCAATCATTGGGACAGCCGTCGGGGCACCCCTATTTATAGGGACAACCATCAGGAGAACCGTCACATCGGGACAATCGTTGCGTCCAATCATCGGGAGAACCATCGGGCAAACCATCGGGGCAAACATCGGGACAACCACCGGGAGAACCATCGGGACAACCATCGGGGCAACCACTATCCATCAGGACAACCATCGGGGCAGCCATCAAATCGGAACAGTCATTGGGCCAACCATCGGGAGAAGCGTCGGGACAAACAACCAGGCAACCATCGGGACAATCGTCGGAACAATCATCGGGACAAGCGCCGGGGCCATCTTCGGGACAACGATCGGGACAACGATCGGGACAACCATCGGATCAACCATCGGGAGAACCTTCGGGGCAACCATCAATAGAATCACCAGGACAACCATCGGGGCAACGATCGCCATCGGCAGAACCACTGCGACAACATTCGGGGCAACCTCAGGACGACCATCGGGGCGCCCGTCGGAACAACCATCGGGACAAACATCGGGGCAACCATCGGCGCCCATCGGGGGAACCATCGGGAGAACCGCCGGGGGAAAAATTGGGGCAACCATCGGAGCAACCATCGGGGCAGCCATCGGGGAAACATCAGCACAGCCTGGAAGGCGCGCTTGGGGGGGCGACCTTTAGGGCCCCATGGACACGAACCAAGACCGAAACCGATGTTCCAGTTGGAATCACTTCCGTTTACTTTCCTTCCAACCGCCGATGTGCACTCATGGAGGGCGGCCCCGTATCAGAACGGCACGGGCCCAGCAGCGGCGGCGGCTGAGGACGGGCCATGGTTGGATGGCGGAATGCAAAGGGGATGCAAGATGGCTGGGCAGAGACGAGAATCAGAGGGTGGAAGAGGGGCAAGCACTCGGGAGGCGCGACCAAGACAGGAGAGTTGCGTCGGAGCGGGTTCACTCTGCGATGCTCGCGGGGCCACAGAACGTCTTGTGGATCCGCTTGGCGGTGGGCCCGAAGAAGTCGCTGAGGTCGTCGTCGGCCTTGCGCTTGGCGCGCGTGAGGCAGTTGGTGAGGACGTCTGTTGCCGCGGTAATTTCTGTCGTGAACGCGTCGGCTTCCACGCGTCGGCGACAGCGAGCTCGGAGTCCGTCGCGCTGGCGAAAGTGGCCAAGATAAGCGCCCAGTCCTTTTTGGTCAAGGCGTGCCGGCCCAGACGCCTTGTCGGACAAGCCGTGGTCGCCCTCCAGGCAGTCTTCTGCTCGGTGTCGGTCTCCGCTACGTCTGTGACGTAGTTGGTGATGGCAAAGCCGTCGTCGCGCGGGGTGGTATCTGGGCCCTTCGTGGCCTCGACGAGTAGGATGGCCCCGCTGGTCAGGAACCGCGCAGGGCCGATAGTGACGCAGAGCTTCCCCGTGGCAGTCATCGAAATGGCGCGGGCTGTAGTCGGGACAAGGCGGCTGTCGTTCTGCGGGGCGAGCAATGGCGCGGCGACGTCGAAAAGGCCAGGCTCTGCACACGCGATAGCAAGGCGCGGTTCGTTAACCTGGTCGCCCTTGGCGCCGGGGGAGACAGCCAGCGTTGCGCGGACGCGTGCCCGAGACCACGTCATGGACCCTTGCGCGACCACGTCTTGGAACTCGGCCTTGTCAGCGCACCCCGTCAACGCGAGGGCAGCCGCCTCCGCGATCTTAGCGTCGACCGAGCCGGTGTAGTCGGACATGCGCACGGACGCCCACGCGCGGCCCCCGGCCTCGGTCAGCAAGTTCTCCGTGTCGCTGAGGGAAAAGGATGCGGCGGGGATTTCGAACAGCTTATCCGGAGCCACGGCCTTGCTGTGTAAGAGCATGTCCAGAATTGCCGACGTGGAACTCACGGCGGGCCCATCTTTGTAGTTCGTGGAGTCGTACACCGAGGGGCTGGCCAGGTCGTCTTTGGCGATGTCTCGGACGCCAGCGGCAAGCATCGCTGCCACTTTAGGAGAGGAGCCCGTGGGCTGGGTGAGAATGGTGGAGTTGCGCACTGTGAGGTGGACGCCGCCGTTGTCGGACTTCACAAGGTACGCACCGAAAATGTAGACAGGCTCCTTGTTGTGAAGCTGCTGTGCCTGCGGGGCGGACTCCTCCCAAAACTTCAGGGCGATGGCGTTTTTGGATGCGTCGCACACGGAAGACACCGCCAATTTCTTCCCCTTGAATGTGCCTTCGGTGGAGATGTCGGTAACGAAGCCGTACAGGTCAACTGCTTGGTCCTGGGACAGTTCTCAAGTACGTCGTGAATGCCCATAGAGGGCTCCACTTCGTCTGGCAACTTGTTCGCCTGCTGGGGCGGCAAAACTTTGGCGACCATGGTTTTGTTGCCCAGCTGCAAGACGCAGGGGTGCGGACTGCCGTGGAAGGCGTCTTTCTTGCGCACCATCGTCAACATGGATAGAGCCCACGACGACCTGGGGGCCCACTTATCCGTCAGAGCTTTGGTTGTCCGGGCGCGCGCCGCGGGGGTGTCGCCCCAGACCATCTGCTCGGCGATGCAGTATAATCCTGATTCACTGGCCAGCACGCAAGTGAAGACGTCTGCGTTCTTGTGGGTTGTGTGCACCTTGGGGTTGAACGCGCGCACGTGCACAACCTTGGTCCCGCAGTTGCGCCCCTTCACGGTCTCCAGCTTGTCCGCCATGGCAAGGTAACCGCTGGGGAGCGGCCCTGACGAGGAAGCAGGTGGCAGCGCGGGGTTGCGGAAGCAAGTATGGTGCGCGCAAGACGGACGGCCACGCGACACGAAGCACTTGGGCCATGCGGTCAGCGGGTCATCTTGCATGAAGTCATTTAGGCCTTCCGCGCGCCTCCGAGGTCAAGGCTGAGGGGATGTCTCTTGCGAACGTAATAAAAATAGTTCCATTAGGAATTGTATTAGTAGCAGTGGTAATAGTCGTCGTCGTAGAAGTCATAGTAATAGGAGTAGCAGTAGTAGTAGCAGTAGTAGTCGTAGTCGTCGTCGTGGTAGTAATCGTAGCAGGCGTAGTCAGAGTTGTAGTTGTCGTGGTCGTAGGCATACGAGTAGCACCAATCGTATGAGTATGGTCGCAATAGTAGTGGTAGTAGTCGTACTTGTTGTAGGTGTTCGAGTGGTATCGGTATGGGTACTGTTAGTGGTACTGGTCGTAGTAGTAGTAATGGTAGGGTGTAGTAGTAATCGTAGTAGTAGTAGTAGTAGTAGTAGTAGTAGTAGTAGTAGTAGTGGTAGTAGTTGTAAAAGTAGTAGTTGTTGTACTAATAGTAGTAGCAGTAGCAGTGGTAGTAGGAGTAATGTTCGTAGTAGTAGAGGTAGGTGTAGTAGACAGAGGAGGATAGCTAGTAGTAGTAGTAGTAGTAGTAGTAGTAGTAGTAATAGTAGTAGTAGTAGTAGTAGTAGTAGTAGTAAGTAGTAGTAGTAGTAGTAGTAGTAGTAGTAGTAGTAGTAGTAGTAGTAGTAGTAGTAGTAGTAGTAGTAGTAGTAGTAGTACTAACAGTAGTAGAAGTGGTACTATGAGCGGCCCTGACGACGAAGCAGGTGGCAGCGCGGGGTTGCGGAAGCAAGAATGGTGCGCGCAAGACGGGCGGCCACGCGACACGGGGCATTTGGTCCATGCGGTCAGCGGGTCATCTTGCATGAAGTCATTTGGGCCTTCCGCGCGTCTCCGAAATCAAGGCTGAGGGGATGTCTCCAGCGAGCGTAGTCAAAATAGTTCTGGTAGGAATTGTAGTAGTAGCAGTGGTAGTAGTAGTCGTCGTAGAAGTCATAATAATATGAGTAGTAGTAGCAGTAGTAGTCGTAGTCGTCGTCGTGGTAGTAGTCGTAGGGCGTAGTCAAATTTGTAGTTGTCGTGGTCGTAGAAATGCGAGTAGCACCAGGAGTAGTAGTAGTAATAGTAGTAGTAGTAGTAGTAGTAGGAGTTGTAGTAGTAGTAGTAGTAGTAGTAGTAGTAGTGTAGTAGTAGTAGTAGTAGTAGTCGTAGTAGTAGTAGTAGTAGTAGTAGTAGTAGTAGTAGTAGTAGTAGTAATATGGTAGTAGTAGTGGTAGTAGTCGTACTTGTTGTAGTGTTGTAGTGGCAGTGGTATGGGTACTGTAGTAGCGGGCGTAGTAGTAGTAGTAGTGGTGGTAGTAGTAGTAGTAGTAGTAGTAGGAATGGTATAGTGCAGTATTAGTCGTAGTAGTAGTGGTAGTAGTAAAAGTAGTAGTAGTAGTTGTAGTTGTAGTAAAAGTGTAGGTAGCAGTGTAGTAGTAGTGTTCGTAGTGGTAGAAGTGGGTGTAGTATGTAGAGAAGGATAAGTACAACTGGAAATAATAAGGACAACAGTTTTTGTGGTGGTAGTAGAGGTACTGGCACTTGTAAATGTAGTGGTCGTAAAAGTAGAAGAAGAAGTAGTAGTAGTAGTAGTAGTAGTAGTCGTCGTCGTCGTCGTCGTCGTCGTCGTCGTCGTCGTCGTCGTCGTCGTCGTCGTAGTAGTAGTAGTAGTAGTAGTAGTAGTAGTAGTAGTAGTAGTAGTAGTAGTAGTAGTAGTAGTAGTAGTAGTAGTAGTAGTCAGTAGTAGTAGTAGTAGTAGTAGTAGTAGTACTAGTAGTAGTAGTAGTGGTAGTAACAGCAGCAGCAGTCGTAATAGTGAAAGAATCATGTCTGACCAAAATTATTGTTGATCTCTCCCCCACCGGCGCGCAGTGATTGTCCAATCGAAGTGTTTCCCCCGGGGTCTTGCGCTGTGTCTTTTGTCAGGGAACGCCTGGGGGTCCAGATTGTGCTCCTGGGAATCCTTAGGAATCCAAAAAGGAAATCTTTAGGAACGGGAATCCTCAGAATCCTGCTTTAGGATCCCTATAGGGAATCCGCAGGAATCCCCAGGGAAACCTTCAGCAAGCCTTCGGGAATACTTCGGGATCCCGAGTGAATCCCTAGGGAATCCCTGGGAATCCTTAAGGAATCCTTAGGAATCCCTGGGGAACCACCCATTCTTTTAACCTGTGACGTTTCAGCGGAGTTTGGAGTGTCTATTTTTGGGCTCGACCAAGGATTCGGCGCGCGCCAAATCTATCAGTATCTATGTTTTCGAACCAGTTTCTATTTGTTTTGATGAGTTTCTATGTTGAACCAAGGAAATTGCAATGCGTATCTATTTTAAATAAGATACGTGTCTATTGTAGTGATTTTCACCAAAAGCTGATTCCGTATCTTTTTTTGGTAACAGTATCTATTTTACACGTGTTATTTTCATTGGTCACACGAATTGCAGATCAAAGCAACATAAACATAGACTCGCGTTTCGCGCGTTCCGACTCAGATGCGTTGCGGTTTCGCCATAGCAGGCGCGCACCACAGATAGACACTACCAGTATCTATTTTTTGTCTACTGGGGCAGAGGTCCAGACCTGAAGTCCGGACCTGAGGTCTGGACCTGGGGTCTGGACCTGGGGCCCGGAACTGGGGAATGGACCTGCTGGGGTCCAGACCTGGGGTCCGGACCTGACCCGGACCTGAGGTCTGGGTCCGGACCTGGGGTCCGGACCTGGAACCCAGACCTGGAGCCCAGACCTGCGGGGGCCCGGACCTGAGGTCTGGACCTAAGGCCCGGACCGGTCTGGACCTGGGGCCCAGACCTGTGGTGTCCGAACTTGGGGTCCGGACCTGAGGTCCAGACCTGGGGCGGACCGGCGATCACAGTTGGGTCTCGCGCGAGATGAAAAGCAGCGACCTTACGCGGCGGCTTACGCGGGCCGCCAGCGCGTAACACCACCTTGGAATCACGCGCGACCTTACGCGGCCAGCTTACGCGGTCTAGCAATCTGCCTCTCCTGCTGGCGGAACAGGGTCCTGCCCAGACCTGCCAGACCTCTAGGCCGGACCTGGAACTGGTTGAGCCGACCGGTCCCTGAGACAACTCTTCCAGACCTTCGAATTTATGCTCACTCCACCGAAAATCTCCCATCGCTAATCTGCCTCTCCTGCTGGCGAACAGGGTCGGCGCCGCCAGCCTCTAGGCCCTCTCAATTGGCTCTTCCAGCGCGCTCGAATTATGCTCCTCCACCGAAATCACAAGCGGCCCGCTCCGCTTCCCGACAACGGCACAAGAGGACCGCGTGAGCTTGAGTTTCGTCGGCGCCATTGCAATACCTGCACCTGGACCAGCAGCGGGCCCTCCAGAGAGGGACGGGGAGAGGGACGGGGACAGGGGGAGAGAGAGGGACATATAGAAAACGAGAAAGAGAGAGAGAGAGAGAGAGAGAGAGAGAGAGAGAGAGAGAGAGACAGAGACAGAGTGAGAGGGAGTGAGAGAGAGTGAGAGATAGAGGATGAGGATATCGAGAGAGAAAGAGAGAGAGAGAGAGAGAGAGAGAGAGAGAGAACAAACAACAACAACAACAACAACAACAACAACAACAACAACAACAACAACAACAACAACACCACCAACACCACCAACAACAACAACACCAACAACAACAGCAACAACAACAACAACAATTACTAGCACGTGGGGACACTCCGTTCTCACCAGTGCCAGGGTTTTCATACGACGCCCGCCAATACCCCCACTTTGTGGGGGGGCCGGTTCAAGCTCTACCACATTTCCAAACGACTCTTCGCCACCACCCACACCCAGCTTCCCGCCCTATGACGTTCGGACACTTCACTTCGTGGCCTGCGGACGACCGTGGCTACTACACTGGCGCATGGGTACAGTGACTTGTTGTGGTAACGAGGTAGAATTTTTGAAAATTCGTACAGATGTTTTTCGAGGACCTACGGTGCGATTCGTATGATTTTATGTTGCTAGGAAACCCAATGGTTTTTGAAAATTTCGGCGTGCGCGCGCGAAGAAAAAACAAATGTGTCCCGCATGGTATGATTTGACAGGGATGATGGCCCTGGCAGGTGCGCAACCGTTGTTGGAGAAGTTCGAAGCACGTGAAAAAGTTGCTCGCAAAAGCCCGTTTGACAGAAATGTTTAAAAAGTGTTGGGTTTCCTACAAATCCGCAAGAGCGCGCGGGATGAAATGTTGACACCTCTTTTTTTTGAAAAAAAACATTGGTTTGTTTTTTTTATGTTTTTATGATAAAATCGCTACGAACACTAAGGTTTTGGAAGGATTTCGTCTTGCGCGCGCGAATGTCCACTTTACCTTATTTTTTGCAAGGGGTTCTTGAAGTTTGGTTATGTTAGAACAAGAAATGTCCACTTTGCCTTATTTTTCTGCAAGGGAAAACCGCCCGTAACAAAACAACTGGATCTGGATCACATCGTTTTGCCTGAGACTTCCTCACGAAAATGATGAAAATGTGGCTGCGGCCTAGGCGCGGCGAGGGGGCCGTGCACCAGGGGTCCCAACAGTAATTATTCTTTAGAAGTAATAATGTTCAACAACAACACCAACACCAACAACAACAACAACAACATCAACATCAACAACAACAACAACAACAAATATAACGAGAAATAGAAAAATAACGAGAGTGAGAGAGAGAGAGAGAGAGAGAGAGAGAGAGAGAGAGAGAGAGAGAGAGAGAGAGAGGACGAGAAGCAGGGCAGCGAGGGCTCTGGAGACTCCGAGCGGGCAGGCCCCTCAGGGGAACACGCCCCTCGGGACCGCGCGCGCGACGCCCGCCACCTCGAACTCGCCGCCCACGGGGCGGCCGCCCGCGGCCCACGCTGCGCGCAGCGCGGCCGCGCCCTCGTTCCCCACGCGGTTGCCGCCGAGGCCGAGCGCCTGCAGGTTCGGCAGGGCGCCCGGGGCCCGGAGGGCCTCCGCCAGGCGGCCGCGCCCTCGTCCCCCACGCGGTTGCCGCCGAGGCCGAGCTCCTGCAGGCTCGGCAGGGCGCCCGGGGCCCGGAGGGCCTCCGCCAGGGCGACCGCGCCCTCGTCCCCCACGCGGTTGACGCCGAGGTCGAGCTCCTGCAGGCTCGGCAGGGCGCCAGGGGCCCGGAGGGCCTCCGCCAGGGCGGCCGCGCCCTCGTCCCCCACGCGGTTGCCGAAGGGGCCGAGCGCCTGCAGGCCCGGAGGGCCTCCGCCAGGGCGGCCGCGCCCTCGCCCCCCACGCGGTTGACGCCGAGGCCGAGCTGCTGCAGGCTCGGCAGGGCGCCCGGGGCCCGGAGGGCCTCCGCCAGGGCGGCCCCGCCCTCGTCCCCCACGCGGTTGCTGCCGAGGCCGAGCGCCTGCAGGCTCGGCAGGGCGCCCGGGGCCCGGAGGGCCTCCGCCAGGGCGGCCGCGCCCTCGTCCCCCACGAGGTTGCCAGAGAGGTGGAGCGCCTGCAGGCTCGGCAGGGCGCCCGGGGCCCGGAGGGCCTCCGCCAGGGCGGCCGCGCCCTCGCCCCCCACGCGGTTGCCGGAGAGGTGGAGCGCCTGCAGGCTCGGCAGGGCGCCATGGGGCCCGGAGGGCCTCCGCCAGGCGGCCGCGCCCTCGCCCCCCACGCGGTTGCCGCCGAGGCCGAGCTGCTGCAGGCTCGGCAGGGCGCCCGGGGCCCGGAGGGCCTCCGCCAGGGCGGCCGCGCCCTCGTCCCCCACGCGGTTGCTGCCGAAGCCGAGCGCCTGCAGGCTCGGCAGGGCGCCCGGGGCCCAGGTGGGGCGGCGCATCGGCGCGGTTGAACTCCGACGGGGTCTATCTCCACCGCGCGCGCGCGCCCGCTGCGAGAGAGACCGCCGCGAGCTGACGACAAATCAGGGGCAAGCACTTATCGGCAGCGCGACCCTTGGAAAAGGCGAGCACCGCAGCCGTGCTACCCGAGAAGCCGGGCATCCGTGGGACTCGGCGGTTCCCACTCTCCTACGAACGGCGTCGAGACGAACCAGCGTTCCCACGGGGCGGCAAGTGCGGTTTTCCACCGATCCCTAGAGAGCACCCCCAAACCGCAGGGCACGCTTGCCACGCGGCTCAATCGCGGCAGCAGGGTCACCCAAGGGGTCGGCGGTTCGCAAGGCGTCGGCTCTAGGGCCCCCCTGTCTCGAACTCCAAACGAAACCTCCGTCGCTTGCTGTCGGCGCCCTCGGAATCCAGTTCGTCGGTCGCGAGGTTCGCCTTGCAGTCGCCGTGGCCGGATGGCCCCCCGTCGGTCACGAGACAGAGGGGGCCCCAGGGAACCCGAATATTCGAAGAACACAACGGTAACGGACAGCCCAAGATCCAGCGCTCTCGAGCCGCGCCCGGCCAGAGGCAACCTCGGGAGTTACGGTGCTTGCGAGCGGGCCCGTAACTGAAACTCAACGCCGAGAGAAGCTCTCGCCGAGCTTGCAGCTGGAAAGTAAAGCGTCCGAGGAGGCCACGACCAGGCGTCGGACGCGGGCGAAGAGGGCCGCGCGGAGACGCCGCTGCCACTCGGGGGCCCCGCCAAGGGCCCCGTCGTGGAGGACGCCCAGACTTTGAGCCCGCTGGGCCGCCTCCCCCTCTCGCGCGCTTCAAAGCCTAACTGGCGACAACGTTCGGCGACGCGCCCCCGGGCGCGATGCGCTCTTCGGGGGCAGGTCGCGGCGGCGGTGAGATTGTCGCAGCGAGGAAGGGCGAGGGCAGATGGGGCCGCGAAGAGGGGTGGGGGCGCGATCGAGCAGGATGCAACCGGGTGGCAGATCGAGCGCGCGTCCTGCCACAGCCGAGTGAGCGAGCCAGGGCAAAAGAAAACCTAGCTCCACCCCGCGGGCAATGCACGGAGGGCCCGGCGCCGGGGGCCGCGGGGGCCCCCAGGGCCCCGGAAACGGGAGGCAGAACGAGATTGTCAAAAAAGCTAAGAAGTCGACGGCGTCAAAGCTGAAGCATCTACTGGCTCCGGGGGGATCCCATGACAACATCAATAATCCTTGAAATCAGAGAGCGAGAACCTTGCCTGCTCCACCTCGCCAATGGCAACGTCCACCCACGCGGCCCCGGCGCCCGTCGGGGGGCGTGGGGCCGGGCGGAAGCGCCGATTAGGCGGCAATGTTTCTTGCGAGCAGCAAAGTTCCCCACCTTGCAGGCAGGCTTCGAAACATGGGCAAGCAAGCCCGCCTCATGCATCTTGGCCATCAGGTTCCTAAGGTGTTCGGGCCCGCCCCGGAGCTTCGGATCAGAGTCGACTTTCACAGGCGCCCGTGTCTCGCGCGCGGCCCCGCCGTAAACTCGCTGGCATCGCTCGGCAGACGATCCGCGAGATCCACAGGCTTTGCTCCAGCGCGGGGCACCGAAATCAACTCTGAGTCGTGGGGGGCGAGGCTCGCGGTGGGTCCGTCTTCATAAGGGCGACCAGGAACCAGGCGAGCCGAGAGGGCTTCCTCGGAACTAGGAGGGGCAAAATCAGGCCGGAAAACGCGAGCTGCGTCTTCAAGCCGGTTGAAAACTTCTAACTGGCAAGAAGATGCCGGGCGCGTGCGCGGCTCAGAGTAACCTGCGAGAGAGTTTAGCGCATCGGCCATTTCGTCGACTCGATCGCAGCACCGACCCCTCTCCGCCAAGCGCTGCCTCACTCCTCGGGAGGACCAGTCTGGTGACGTTCCCTGCGCTCCGTGCGGAGCCGCGGAAGAGGGAGCATATCAAGTTGAGCGAGGTCACCTCGCTCGGTCTGGGCGCGGGGCGCCGCCTGCGCGGCGGGGGGGGGGCCCGGCACTTCCTCTGGTGGGCCATCGTCGCGCCCCCCCGGCGCCGGCGGCGCCGGGGTCGGTCTCCTGGCCCTTCCCGCTCCCCTTTTGCGGCCTCTTGGGCCCGCACGACAGGCGCATCTCCTCGGTGTGCTTGCGCTGCCACTTGAGGATCGAGTTCCGTTCGGCCGCACGGGCCGCCACATGGCGAGTGAGTGCTGGGGCCACCAGCGCACCACCCTTCGTGACGCCCCACCCCATCATGTCGTCGGCGGGGGTGTAGTCCGCAGTCGCAAGATTGTTCGATCACCTGGGCGCGGCGGATCAGCAGCTCGAAACTCTCCAGGCGCACGAGGTTCAGCTGATCCCTCTCAGCCGCCGTCTGAAACACCTTCATGATGACGTGGTGCTCGTGCACGGAGCGGTCACCAGGCGGGATGCCGCTCTCGCTCGCCCACGCCCTGGAGCGAGCCACTGGACCCGGCCCCGTCAGCGCGAGCTGGGATCACCCTCGGGGTCGCAGTCATTGAAGTCGACATGCTCCATCATCGCTACCGCCTCGCCGAAAATCGTGAAACGCTTGTCCCCGCGCCCCTTGATCGGCAACACGCGGAGGTCGCCCTCGTCCTCGGGAGCGGCAGCCGGCCCCGCCTCCCTGGCCCCTGGAACCCGGCGCCCCAGGGGAGGCTCTGGCCCCAGGACGCCGGGAGGCGCCGCGCGTGGATCCACCAGCGCACCAGCGCCGGCCGGGGCCTCTGCCTCCACGGCGGCGAAGGCGCTCACGTACACCTCCGCCATGTTGGTGCCGATCGCGAAGTCGTATAACCAGTCGTTCGACCGGAATCTGAGACGAGCGGCCCTCGGCGCCAGAACACCGTCGGCCTGGAAGGAGCGCGTGCCAATCGACTCCCCCTCCCCCGCCTGCTCCGGGCACGCGTCGCCGTCCCATGTGGCTACCCACCAGACGGGATGTCCAGGTTCGGTCGGCCACTCGCCGATCTGCTGCCCCATCATATCCGAAGACGTTCCCTGTATCGGCAAGCGGGCGCGCCACTCGCCGTCGCGGTAATGCACCTTCACCTTCTGCCCAGTGCAGAACAGGGCGCCTCGCACAGACAAGGCAGCCCGCGCAAGTCCAACTGAGACAGACGCCGGCCAGGACTCCGACGAGGAGGCCCACGAGGAAGATGCCCCACGAGGAGGCCCAGGTTCAGGAAGCTCGGCCCGAGGGTGTTCTCCTCGAGTGCGCAGCGGCTCAACGTGCCAGCAGCGTTGGTGACCGCGTCGGAAGCGAGGGCACTGAAGGCGACGCGGCCGGCGTGGAGAAGGTGCGCGAACCGCGGCCGGCGTGGAGAAGGTGCGCGAACATACAAGTGCGTGCCCGACGTTTGGTTCCTCTAGCCAGAGAAAAGCTTGAGCCATCACGAGTGCGAACGAGGTCGACTCGGATCGGGGGTTCAACGGCGATTCATTCGCCCTGTCATACCTGGATGAATCCTAAAATAATCATAACGGACTCTGGAATCTGGAAAATGCACGCGCACTCGCTTAGAAAGAGGGAGCAAACAAAAAGGGGGAGGCATGGAGGGAGAGGGGGGGCATCACAGCTCCAATGTGCAAAAAAGTCAATGCGCTGTGTCTTCTTGTCCGGCCCCTGCAGCGCCCGCTCCAACAACATCTGCGCCGACGAGCGTCCGCCAGGGCCGGGGTCCCAAACAACAACCCTCCCGGTTGCTCCCTGTGCATGGCAGGTGGCGCAGGCCCGCCGCCTCGCACTCCTCCGAAACCGCTCGCCAGCCGGCTCGGCCCACGGCCGCGCTCGTGCAGCGCGCACGCCTGGCGCAGCGCGCCCCCGCTGCCCCCTCCGCCGACAGCAGAGCGGCCTCTTTGGGCGTCGCTGGGGCGGGGCGGGCCCTCGCTTCCCTTCCCCTTTCCCCCTGCCCCCTGTGGAGTAGATCTTGGCTGTATTTGGCGCCTGCTTCGAGCAGGTGGGGTCTCCCCCATGAGACGAACGGCCGTAGACAGTCGCGCTCTAAGCAGAGGTCCAGAGCCAGATCCCCACCCCCCCCTTATGTTGTTTCCGCCCTACTCAAGGACCGCATCCCAGAAATAGTTCCGAGCACCCAGAAAAGTGTAAAACGAGTGCCGAAACAAAGTCGGGCGAGTGTCTCCCAGGGCCCGGCGCGCGAAAACCCTTGAGTTTCAGCACTTTTTGGGGGCGCTCGAAATTCTTCCTGGTGATCAAGGCTAAAGTAGGTTGGAGCATCATAATCCCCCCCCCCCCCCCTTCCTCTCAATGCCGAAGCGCCGTCTCTTCCCGCGGGCGCGTGGAGCCCGCAGCCGCCCTGACCCAAGGTGCCCCCAGAATTCTCCGGGGTGGCCCAGACGGCCTCCAGGGGGCCCTTCACGACGCCCAGAGGGCCCCAGAGGCTCCAAAATGTAGCGAAAAGCTAGCTTGGGCCAGTGGCAACCTCTAGCAACACCCGAGTCTTCGTCGGAAGGACTAAGAAGGATTAAGTCCCATTGGAGGGCTGTTGCGCCGGAGTGGGCTTCGAGAGTCCTCTGCATGGATCAGAGGCCGGGCGAAGGCTGGCAAACCTGTGGCTGCTAAAGCGGAGAGTTCCAGAAGATTGTTCGTTTCTTCCGGGAGACATCTCGTTTGCTATTCGCGCGCTGAATTTTATTCCGGGAATGTGTTTGTTTGTTTCTTCCGGGAAGACCGCTGTAGCAGCCGCGGGTTTGCCGGTCCTCGCCCAGCGTCCGAATGGAGCGCAGTGGTGCACTCCAGCAGAAGTTCTACAGACCTGAACCTGGCACTGCCAACAAAGACCGCTGATTCCAACTCTTCCTGACGATCCCACCGCGGCTCCGCGAGCCACATCCCACCAGCCCGCCGGTCGATTTCTGAAGGGGGGGCAGGGAGGGAAGGAGGGGGGGGAGAGGAGAGGAGGGAGGGAAGGAGGAGGGGGGGACAGGAGAGGAGGGAGAGGGGGGAGGAGAGGGTGGGGGAGAGGAGAGGGGAGAGGAGAGGGGGGAGGAGGAGAGGGGGAGAGGAGAGGGGAGAGGGGGGAGAGGGGGAGGGATGGAGGGGGGGGGGAAGAGAGGGGGGGGGGACATCACACAACTCCGCCGTGCAGAGCTCGGTGTGACGACTGCCTCCCGGTCAGGCGCCTGCGCAGCGCCCGCTCCGACATAAAAATCTGCGCACGTGGAGCGTCTGGCCGGGCGCACCGGCAAAAACTATCGTTAAGTCGGGCGTGTCCCCCTCCGGGGGGATTTTGGAGGAACAACAAAAAAGCCAAGCAAATACACAAAAAAACATGTTCAAATAAATGTCCCCGGGGCATGTTCGAACTATGTTTGGGGCATTCTTTTATTTTTCATCGAAAATCCCACTGTAGGGGGACAGGCCCGACATAAAACGATCGGCGCTCGCGTGCCCCAGCGCTCTCAACTGCGGGGCCGGGAGCCCTGGCGCGAACGGCCGAGCGACTCCTGCAGGGGGGCACTTTGGCAACCAACGGCCGGCCGCCGCAAGCATCCTCGGAGCAGCGCTGGCCGCGCAAAGGCGCCCCGGCAGACGCGACGACGGCCCGCAGGCAAAGACCCTCACTCGGCTGCGCGTAAGAGTGACCCTGGGTAAGAGTGACCTCTGGTGCGCGGCTTTTTGGGGGGCGCGAGGAGGTCCAGCTCGAGCGCGCAAGGCGCTAATATCGCAACGGGCGAGGCGATCGGGGGGCCCCATTTGGCCCGCACCAAAGGTCACTCCGGCGAAAGGTCACTCTTACGTCTAGTCGACTCATGGGGGCCACCCTGAGGCCCCATTTTTCTTTTTTTAAAGAATTCGATGTTTTTCCTTTTCAACAACGTTTTTCCTTTTCATGTACGTTATTCCTTTTCGATCACAAATTCCTTTTTGATCGTGACTTGTCCGCTGTTTGCAGCCTAAATAACAAGAGATAAGGAGGAGGAGGGGGAGCAGGAGGAGGAAGAAGGAGGAGGAGGTGGTCACGTTGTCTGTTCCTGGCGTTCGTTGCGTTTCTCCCTGCGCCGCTGGACCTGCTCGAGCGGTTTTTCAGGATGGCGCCGAAGCCAGGCCCGCGCTTCGCTGATGCGAACGCGCTCGCAGGGGTGCTGGCTGGCCATGTTCGGAAAGTCAGCGGCGTTGCGAATCCCACTCTTAAGGAGGAGGAGGAGGAGGAGCTCAGGAAGAAGGAAGGATCAGGAGGAGGGGGAGGAGGGAGAGGAGAAGAAGGAGGAGGAGGAGGAGGAGGAGGATGGGGGAGGAGGAGGAGGGAGGAGGAGGAGGAGGAGGAGGAGGCGGAGGGGGAGGAGGAGGAGGAGGAGGAGGAGGAGGAGGAGGAGGAGGGAGGGAGGGAGGAAGAGAAGCAGGAGGATGAGCCGCCGATCCCAGGTGAATTTCCTGAAGTACGCTGAGTCCCAGGACGCGAAGTACAACAAGGAGACGATCTTAGATAAGAAGGCTGATAGCGACGACGAGAGGAAAGGAGGTGGGGGATAGGAGCAGCAACAGCAGCGGTGGAGGGGGAGTTGAGGAGGAGGAGGAGGAGAAGGAGGAGGAGGAGGAGGAGGACCCTGGAGGATCAGAGGAGGAGGACGACGACGAGGAGGACGAGGAGGACGAGGAGGAGGAGAGGAGAGGAGCAACAGCATGGAGCAGCAGGGAAAGCGAGCTTTCGGAGGCTTTGCTCAAGCACGTGGAGGAGCTGGTTGACAACTTCAGCATCAAGCCCAGCTGCGTGACTGAGGCCCGACGGGACCCCTGGATCTGAGTGGCGCGGGGCGCGTGAGGGAGAGACCCCCCGTCCCTCACCCGCCCCCCGTCGCGGAGGTCCTCGGATCCCGTGAAGGCTTTGGGGATCATTGCCAAGAAGTCAGATTTCAAGCTCAGCGAGGCTGAGCTCGTCGACTGGCTCAGGACGATGGGCAATCGGCTTCGAGCGCTTCTGGGGCACGCACGAGACTTGAAAAGGACGATGCGGGGAAACTACTTAGTCTTGGAAAAGGTGCGGCTCGTGACCTTTCGCCTCCTGCCCCGGCCGCCTCCGCGAGGAGCGAGCGGCTGGGGGGGGTCGATTGGTAGCGAGCCGCCGCCTCCATGAGAAGTGGCATCCGACGCATCGTCCCAGGAAGGGCTCGAAAGCTCCGAGCTGGTGGATCAACCGCAACTGTGCTGAGGGCGCTCACGACTACGAGGAGTGCGAGGGCGGCGAGGAGGAGGACCCCGAGGTGGACGAGGTCGTGGACCCTGACGACGACGACGAGGACGAGCCGCAGCCCCCCGTGTGCAAGAAGCCCGCGGCGCTGGTGACCCACAAGCCTGCAGGGACCCAGAGGGGCTCTTATAAGGTGGGCGCTGACGAATCATTGGCATGTCGTTTGGGGGGGGATCTCAGGGGCCGCTGGTGAATGTCCCAGCGACGCCCCAGTGATCATCCAGTGACCCCCAATGATCACCCAGTGATCCTCCAGCGGCCCTCAGTTTAGATGGCAGGATTCTGCTCAGATTCCTCGGCACTATCCTTCACTCCTCCCTCCCCCCATCCAACCTTTTTCATCCTCCTCTCCTCCCTCTCCCTGATCCTCTCCATGATCCTCCTCCTCCTCCTCTGCTTCCCTCCCCCTCCTCCTTCTCTGATGCCTCTGATGCCTTACCACAGTGGGTCTCATGAAACCCTACTGCGACCTGCGCCTTCGCAGGAACACACCCAAGGTATTAAGAAATGAATAACCTCAGGGGGGAAGGGCGACCGAGCTTCAACGCATTAAAACTGGCGCCGAATTAACGGGAAGGGCAAGCCCCAGTATTTGTCCGACTGGGGCTCCCTTCCCGCTCTTAATTTATCCAAGGCCTTGCGACTCAGACGGTTCGGTGGCCTGCACGGGTCTTTCAGCAGCTTTGTCTGACGCCTCGCGCACGCCCCGCACCGATTACAGAACACAAGAGCATCGATGCACCCATCGGCCTTGGGAGAGCGGACGGCCCAGAGCCGATGGGAACAATGGGCCAGGGGCGCGGGCCTCGGGACTCCCGCACAAGGAAAACGCAAAACCCTAGCCCTGGACGCCTTCCGAATTCCACACTTGAGACATCCCCAAACACGCCCGAGCCTTTCCAGGGAGTGCCCATTGTGAGGCCTCTCGAGCTCCAGCTGGGGACCCTGGGAGGGCTCCGGGCGTCCAGGGAGGGCCCCTCTGTCGGGCCAATCCAAATCTGCCAGCTTCTTCAACACCACACCGTGGTGCAGCATAAGCTCGGCCGCCGCTTCGTGGGCAGCCGCAAACCTGGCCTCACAGGCTTGAAGCTCTCCTTGGGGCCCTTGGGGGTGCAGTCGTGCGCCCAGCTTCGCAATGCGGTCGGCCTCCTTATTGCCTATGTGATGGCACCAGAAAGCCCCGTGCACCTCCGCCAGCCGCCACGACACATGAGCCTTCACCCACTTCATCTCGAAGTTGTCCAGACCCATGTCGTTCACATGGTGCCAGAACTCGCGCCACAGGTGGGCGTGCTTCGACTCCGCCGAAACGCAGTACTGCTCACCCCGCCTGAAGTCGTCGACCACGACCTTGCAGTCACTGACAAAAAGTAGAGAGCCAACGCCCTTCTCACGGAGGGCGCGCACCACAGCGTAAAGCTCGGCATGCCCAATTTCTTGACAATCACCAGGAACCGAACCATACATGCCGCCCTGGAGCCTGCCGTCATGAGTGACCGATACAGCCGACCAGCCACATCTCGTTAACCTTGGGCAGCGCGGGCACGTTGCAGACCCGCCCACGCAAACGATGCCCTCCCACAGCTCTCGCAGCCCCACTCCCGCTCTCAGGCAAGTCTCTTCCCGGGCAGGAGGTGGGGCCTCGTGCAACTTGAGGTCGATCAGGCCTCTGGTCATGCCCACGTCGTCCACGTCGGCGAGCCTCCCCGCCTCGCGAACTCGTTCCAAGCCCCAGGAAGCCGCCAGCTGGCATGTGCCATCGCAGCAGAAGAGCCTGTGGTGCTGCGTGCCGACGGCGGCGTGGCACCACTGGCAAAGGGGGTCTACCTGGGATCGCTCCTGGTAGAGATCGTGCTGCGTCACGATGCCGCCCGCGACCAGCGACTCCACAAACGAGACCATCTCCTTGTCTCCGCGCCTCCTCAGCGAGCTAAGGCCGGCACGCAGTGGTTCCAAGTCGGGCGCGTGACCAGCTAGGCTCTCGAAGCCTGGGTGCTTTGCAACCCTCATCATCAGGGACCGGGCGGTCCCGCGCTCGATCTCGGAGGCCACGAACTTTGGACTGACGTCCGTGAGCACCAGCACCTGGCCCTCGTCCGTGGTCCAGCGGTCCCAGCCCGAGAAGCTCCAGCCCAACCTCTCCAGAGTCTTGAACACGGCGCAAATCGGGCCATTAGCGCCGGCCCAAGTGGAGGGGCCGCCCTTGCCGTGCACGGCCTTGAAGGCCGCTGGAGGGCGCAAACGCGTGTAGCACGCCTTGGCCCAGGCCGCCAGAGGCAAGGCGTTGCTCGCGTAGGTGGGGTCCCGTCTCCACCCTCCGTCCTCCTGGATGGCGAACTGCGCCGTCCTGGATCGCTTGCCCGCCTCGCCTGCCAGCGCCCTGGCATTAGTCGTCCGAGCCTGCTGCAAGGCCCTGTCCGGAACTCCGCGCACGCGAGCTCCATGAAGCACGGAAGCCAGGCCTCCCGCACGAACGACCTTGCCAAGCCTGGCGCCTGCCTTCTTCAAGGCCATGAAGCGCGAGGCGCGGGGGCCAAGCTTCTGCAGTCGAGCTCGCAGGACGCCCCAGCTGCCAACTCTGCCCATGCCGAAGTCGACCCCGAGGTTCCGGACCGAGTGGTGCAGCTGGAATCCCCATCTATTG